GCCTGTAGTCCCAGCTACTCAGGAGGCTGAGGCAAAAGAATCACCTAAGCCCAAGAGTTGGAGGTTGCTGTGAGCTGTGACACCACAACACTCTAAGCACTCTACTGAGGGCGATAAAGTGAGACTCTGTCTCTAAAAAAAAATTGATTCTCACTGGATAAAAGATTTAAACTTAAGACATGAAACTATTAAAATACTAGAAGAGAGTGCAGGCAAAACACTTGAAGAAATTGGCCTGGGAGACTATTTTATGAGGAGGACTCCCTGGGCAATTGAAGCAACACCAAAAATACATTACTAGCATCTCATCAAACTAAAAAGCTTTTGCACAGCCAAGAGCACAGTAAGACAACCTTCAGAATGGGAAAAGATTTTTGCAGGTTATGTTTCCAATGAAGGTCTGATAACTAGAATCTACACAGAACTCAAACAAATCAATAAGAAAAGAATAAATAACCCCATTTCTATGTGGGCAAGAGATCTGAACAGAAACTTCTCTGATGAAGACAGGCGCATGGCCTACAACACATGAAAAGAATTCTCATCATCCTTAATCATCAAAGAAATGCAAATCAAAACCACTCTGAGATATCATCTAACTCCAGTAAGATTAGCCCACAAAATTCCAAAACTACAGATGTTGGCATGGATGCAGAGAGAAGGGAATGCTTCTACACTGCTGGTGGGAATGCAAGCTAATACAACCTTTTTGGAAAGAAGTTTGGAGAACACTCAAGGAACTAAAAGTAGACCTATTGTTCCATCCTGAAATTCCTCTACTAGGTATATACCCAGATGACCAAAAATTATTTTACAACAAAGACATTTGTTATACCAGAATGTTTATTGCAGCCCAATTCATAACTGCCAAGACATGGAAACAGCCCAAGTCCCCATTGGCCCATGAATGGATTAACAAATTGTGGTATATGTACACCATGGAATACTATGAGCCATAAAAAAAGTTGGAGAACTCACATCTTTTATGTTTACCTGGATGTAGCTGGAACATATTCTTCTTAGTAAAGTATCTCAATAACAGAAAAAAATGTATCTAATGTACTTAATACTACTATGAAATCAATACATAGCAACCTATACATACAAATGGCAAAACTTAAGTATAGTCCGGAAAGTAGAAGGAAAGAAGAGAGGGGAGGGGAAGGAGGATATGGAAGGAGGGATGGTATTTGGGGGGACCTCACCTAATGTGCATGATGCAATGGTACATTTCAAAACTATTAAGAAATGAGTATAATTGTGATGGATGTGTTACTTAGTAATGTAAGCATTTCACACTGTATATCAAAGCAGTACCCTGAACCCCATAAATGCATCAATGTACAAAGTTATGATTTAATAAAACAATAATTAAAAAAACAAAGAACAAGCTAGGCCTGGAAGCCACGGGACCCCATGAAGGGAGAGCATCCCACCTTCCTCCTCAGCCTTTGTCCTCACTATTTGGACTAAAGTCCATAGTCAAGCCAGGACTGTTACTGGGAAGCAGGTAACAGTCTAAGTAATGGTGTGAGTCTCCTGAGCCTTCAAAGAACTATGTGACCTCAGAGGCAAGCTGGAAAAGCTGAGGCAGTGGAGCCTCCAGGCAGAGGAGGGTCTGGTCACATTCTTGGGCCAGTGGCGGCCCCTCCTTCCTCTCACCCAAGCCCCTGCCTACTTGTTCACTCCCCTCCCCCCAACAAACACCAGAAGGTACCTTTAACTTAGACTTTTTATTGAACTAAGTAAAACCTGGCCAGACCCATAGGGGTGGGGGGTTGCACAGAAAAGGAGTGAGAGGAGGGTTAGGGACACTGAGGATCAGTCTCCAGCATGTCTGTCCAATGTTCCTGTGGAGGCAAGGAGGGTTGGTCAAAGGCAGCCCAGAGGATGGAAGAGGGTAGAGAGGCTGAGGCAAGGTCATCTCTCACCTCTTCCAATTCTGACTCCTCTTCCTCCTCAGTCTCCATCCAGCACAGCCGGATCAGGTCGCCCCAAAGAACTGAATTCTTACAGCTACAAAAGGATTGGATGAGAAAACACAAGAGTCAGGCTTCATAAGCCCCCTCCAGGCTCAGGGAGCCAAGATGAGGACTCAGGTGCCTGGACCTGGATTGGACAACTGGGCACCCCCTTCCCAGAGCTAGACCAGGCATGGATAGGGATAATCAACTCACCTAGGGCATTGGCCCTCTAGAGGCAAAAGCTGCCCTGGTTCTTTCTGAAGGAACTCCTCTGCCAGGCAGATTACATGGGCCCTCAAGCGGCAGCCAGGGTGGGGGCAACACAAGGGACCCTCTTCATCCTGTCAGAGGCGACAAGCAGGTAAGAGCAACGATGTAGCTAATTCTCATAAATATTTCTATGGATGGGACACGGTTCTAGAGCCATTACTTAAAACAACTCTCGGAGGTATACATTACTTTTTGCATCTTACAGATGAAGCAACCAAGGCACAGCGAAAGGTAAAATACTTGCTCCCAGGAATTAAGCTGTTCAGCTTTTTCTAAGCATTAGCTGTGATTATGTGACAGCTTGGGCACTGCAGCCAGATCTATAGTTGCTTATAGGCCAAGTAACCTCAGGCAGCTTGAATCTCTGAATGGCAAGTACTAAACTTTTTTTTTTCTTGAGACCAAATCTCATTCTGTTGCCCTTGGTAGAGAGCTCTGGCATCATGGTAGCTCACATTAATCTCCAACTCCTGGGTTCAAGCAATCCTCTTGCCTCAGCCTTCCAAGGAGCTGGGACTACAGGTACACGCCACCATGCCCAGGTACTTTTTTCTATCTTTAATAGAGATGAGGGCTGGTCTCCAATTCCTGAGCTCAAGAAATCCACCTGTCTTGGCTTCCCAGAGTGTTAGGATTATAGGTGTGAGCCACTGCACCAGGCCCAAAACTTGTGTACATTTACTGTGAGCTCAGAAGAAGCCAGGACCATCTATTAATTTGTTAAATATTTATAGTAGTGAATTAAAGCAGCCTTACTGGAGTTTAGTATGGGGGTGAGGGGAGACCAATAAGATAATAAAATATGTCAGACAATAGTTACACATTAAGAGAAAAGAAAGGGGCGGCGCCCGTAGCTCAGTGAGTAGGGCACCAGCTACATACACCCAGGCTGGAGGGTTCTAACCCAGCCCAGGGCCTGCTAAATAACAATGACAACTGCCACAAAAAAAAAAAAAGCTAGGCGTTGCGGTTGGCGCCTGTAGTCCCAGCTACTTGGGAGGCTGAGACAAGAGAATTACTTAAGCCCAAGAGTTTGAGGTTGCTGTGAGCTGTAACGCTAGACGCCTTGGCACTCTACCAATGGTGACATAGTGACACTGTCTCCAAAAAAAAAGAAAAGAAAAGAAAGGGGACAGGAAAGTGTACATGAAACGTACAATTTTATTTTATTTTTTTTGCAGTTTTGGCCAGGGCTGGGTTTGAACCCACCACCTCTGGCATATGGGGCTGGCGCCCTACTCCGTTGAGCCACAGGCCCACCCCGAAAGGTGCAATTTTAAATGGTGAGCCAGAGAAAATCTCACTGAAAAGTGTGTTATCAAGACAGAAGGTCTACAGAAAACTCGTCCAGGGAAGAGAAAGACCCTAAAGAGGTACTGGTGTATTCAGGAACGGCCACAAGTACTATCGTCCCCATTTTAGAAAAGGGGGTAAAGAAGGAGAAATAAATCTTATACTTCCTGGTGGTGTGAGAATGCAGAACTCAGCCTCCAAAGGTAAGAAAGAACTTTAAGAGATACACTAAACAGGAATAACCTTGACAGAGACTATGTAACAAATAATATCACTCTAGTTCCTTGAGAAATATAATCACTAGCTTTTTACGACTTCTTTTGTCTGCTAACTAAAATTTTCCCATTTGCGACGCCAGCCATATACACTTAGGCTGGTGGGTTCGAACTCGGCCTGGGCTTGATAAGCAACAATGACAACTGCAACAAAAAAAATAGCTGGGCGCTGTGGTGGGTGCCTGTAGTCCCAGCTACTTGGGAGGCTGAGGCAAGAGAATCGCTTAAGCCCGAGTTTGAGGTTGCTGTGAGCTGTGACCAACAGGGCGCTCTACGGAGGGTCACCTAGTGAAACTCTGTCTCCAAAAGAAAAAAATAAAATAAATTTTCCCATGACCTAACATTTGTAACTATAACTCTGTATGTCTTGCTAGAATAGTATAAAAGAGCTTTCTCACGGCCTGCTGAGCTCCCCCGCTGGCGAATAAAATTCCTTCCCCTATAATCTTTGGTGAGAATCTATTGGTTTCGATTTGCCGGTCCTGCGACAGAGGCAGGGCAGTCAAAGTTTGTCGGTGGTTCCCCAACAAACAACTTTAAGTCTGGATGGACCCTAGACCGGCCTCTCCGTGGAGCTGATCTCACCTGGAAGGCGCCCGCACATAATGTGCAGACGGCTTCCAGTTCAGGCGCGGTGTCAGCACAGGGACTGGCGCGGGGTCTTGAGACAAAGCCCCGAGGCGGCAGAGGCCCGAAGGCCAGCGGCACGTGAGGCGGTGGCGGCAGGCAGAAATCCCGGCGGAAGTCCGGACGCAACCAGCGCACTGTTAGCGGGAGGCGCGCCCAGGGCGGCGCGCGCAGCATGTGCGCTAGCACGCGCAGGTGGAAGACGAAGGACGACTCCCTGCGCAGGCGCCGACTCACGTGCGCCAGGCGGCGTGAGGCGTGAGGGTGCTGCCAGGCCCATTCGAACTGTGGGCGAGGTACAGAGCGTCAGGCACGCTAAGGGCACGGGGAGGCCAGGGGCAAACCCCAAACTTCCGGCCCGCCCGCCGCCCTATTTCTTTTCTTACCCGAAGGGCAGCCACGGCAGACGGGAAGCCGTGCACGACGAGCACCATCTCCCTGGGAGAGAACGAGTGCGCGGCCCGTGAGCCCCCAACTCCTTCATGCCGAACCCACTACCGTGGTTCACTGCCAGGCCCATGTGAGAGCGGTGTCCTCACACCTGGCTTCGAGCCTAGCCAGGAGGCCCCGCACCGTTCGGGAAGTACGCCTCCTCACACCTGCCAACCTCAGGTCCACGTACTTGGCTGTGTTCAGTTCCTCTCCCTTCTAGGATCAATTCCAACCCCAAGTACTTGTCGTCGGCCCCCAACCTAGATCATCAGACCTCTCCCTTGCCAGCCCCCTCCCTTGAGTTCTGCAGCCCAGATTCGTGGGGCACCGTCTCCGTGTCACGCTCCTCCCTTGTGATGGGCTCCGCCCTTGACACCATGTCCACTGTATCGTCCCCAAACCAGCTCTACCCACTGCCACTGGCTTGACCCGCCCCTCTCTTCAGGGTTCTCGCCTGCGGGGCCCGCCGCCTCCGCGAAGATTTCCTTCCTAGCACAGAGACCCGCCCCCTCTTACCAGGGCCCTAGCCCGCTGGTCCGCCAGGCCCCGCCTTTCTTGCGGCCCCCATTGTGCTGCTGGACCCGTCGAACTGGGTTGACAGTAAACCCCACGTAGATGCGGCCCAGGTGCTGAGGGTTCAGGCAGTAAAGCACGTAGACGCCGAAGAAACGCCCTGGTCTTCCTGCGTCCCCCGCGGGGGCCATGGAGCTTGTGTCCAAGGTTCTACCGCTGGGAGTTGACGGCTGTGACCCACGACCACGCGGAGAGCTGGGTTGCTAGGGCTGTTCCGATGCTCGTTTCGCAAAAAGTACTCGGGGACGGTCCCGAGGCACAGTGGAAGCCACAGATATGCAGGATCGTGCACCCTCTCCTGGCCAGACGGAGTTGTGGAAACCTGTCCCCAGAACCCAGACAGCCGCGCGGGCAGGATCAGCCTATCAGCCTCGGCTCCGGCAAGGTCCGTCCTTACGCAAACTCTGATTGGTTAACTAATGGCAAGCGCGCAAACCCTTGAGTGTTGGAAAGCCCGGCTTGCTGGAAGGCGAAGTACCGCATTTACCGACTCCTTAGTAAGGGCGGAAGTGAAGGCTCCAGCGGAAGTGGCTTCCTTAAGGGCGGAAAGCTGTGTGGCCGGGGTCCGAGTGGGGGGATTCGTCCCCGCTTGGGCTGCCGCCCCAGCTGGACTGCTGCTATGGAACTCAGCGCCGAGTACATTCGAGAGAAGCTGCAGCGGGACCTGGAAGCGGAGCACGTGGTGAGTTGAGCCGCCCGACTGGGGGAAAAGGATACCGGGGACGCGCTCGACACCATTCATATTATTCTGCCGGTTAGGAGGTGGAGGACACGACGCCTAACCGTTGCGCGTCCAGCTTCCGAGTCCTGGTGGTATCCGCCAAGTTCGAGGGGAAGCCGCTGCTTCAGAGACACAGGTGAGGCCCGGGGAACACGCTGTATAGCGCGGTCCCAGCTCCGGGACCACACCCCAGCCACTCTCCCTTCCTCTGCAACCTAATTCCCTTACCCCAGCCAACGTGCTGTATGACCTTCTGGATCTCTTCGTAGCCCCTGCTTTGAATATTTCAATTTATGTCTCCCCGGATCTGTTCTCACGTCCGGGGTCTTACAACCCTGCGGACACCCACAGTCTTCTAACTCACCCTTCGGAAACCAGGCCTTACCCTGCGGTTCCAAACCCCATCTCCCATCCTAGGCTGGTGAACGCGTGCCTAGAGGAAGAGCTCCCACGCATCCATGCTTTTGAGCAGAAAACCCTGACCCCAGAGCAGTGGGCCCGTGAGCAGCAGAAATGAGGGACCAGGACCTGCACAGCCATTAAATTATTAAATCAGGACCAGCGTCTGTGTCGATGTGTTGTGTGCGGGAGGGTGAGAGGGGAGGACTTGGCCCCTCCCTGCCCTTCTCCCACTGTTTCACCTTGGATAATTCCCTCTCCCATCTAGATTTGTGCATCCCTGATTTTAAAATCAAAGCGTTATTGTCCCTTCTAGGGCCTGCCTCACAATTTTTCTCTCTGTAATTCTCTGTATACCCCTAGCGGCCAGTACTGCCATCGCCCACCCATCCCCCAGAGAGCTAGGGGTTTCTGCTTTCTGCCAGCCTTTGAGATGCAGAGATGAGAAAGTGCTCAGGTTTTCAGGACCCTGGCCAGTTGAACAAACCTCTCCCTCTCCCCAACACCCTTCTAATATCCAAGCCATGATACAGAATTCCCCTTCATAGGCCTCAGGGGAAGTGGTGCCCAAGCGAGAGCTCCTCAGCACATGGAATCTGATGTTTTCTGGCCCACTGGAGAAGGTCCAGTGGTCCCATAGCTCTGGGCTTATGTGGCCACAGCTACCTCTGGGAAGACCATGGAGTTTTCAGGAATGGGGGGTGTTGGGAAGTGATAGGATGGGATTGGAGCAGAAAAAGGAGCCTGACCTGAGTCACAAAACTGGGGTAGGTGATGCCTGTGTCAGTCTTAACCACAGGTTGTTAGTGTTTGTAAGACCTTGCACAGAAGTTGCTGAAACTCGAGAGACAGCAAGTGACCCAGTTGGGGCCAGGGCTCTTTGAAAGTGAGAAATTGCAAGTTTCAGAAATCACCCACTTTGTACCCCTGTGTTTTCAAAGCCAGTTTCTCAGTCTCTAAATTACCACCAACCCTTGCCTCCCTTTCTTTTTGTCATCAGAGATAGAATGGGCTGGTAAAGCTGAGAATCATAGTCATGACTGGTTAACCCTTTGGGGTTCCAGGGATCATTTCCTGGACATTTTTTAGTTCCCTTGGGCTAGAAGAAAACTAGTGACTGAGTCTACTCATGTGGACTCCTAAAGGGCCAATTATGCAGGATCATCCCCTCTTTAAGAAGCCTAGGCCACACCCCTGATTAGATCCACCTACTACATGCCAGGCTGTGAAAGTATCACTCCCCTATTTTATAGATGGCAATAGGCCTAGAGAGAAGTGACTTCTTGGGGTCACATAGCTTGCTTAGGAAACCCATGTAGGCAGACAAGGACATTTGTCCATCTGCCTCACACACTTCTCTACCCAGCTAATTTTCTATAGCATGCTGAAGGGGAGAGGGTCTGGGGATGGGGCCTTTGGTGGCCCCTGCAGGATACATACCAAGCTTTGCTATGGGCAAGACACTCATTGCAAACAGCCCTTTGTCCTCCCAGCTCAAGGCATTACCTGCTAAGTTGGGCGTTGGAACTTATTCCCAACCCCCTCCCTTGACAGAGCCTAACAGATCTATTCCTTCCAGGTCGTTCTCACAGATTAGGCCCAGGCAGGACCCACAGTAAGGGCTCAAGAGGCAGCAGTACTATGCAGAGGAAGGCCCCGAACTTGAAGGGGGAGACTTAGGCTATGAGTCCAATCTCCCATCAGCAAGCTGGTTTCACCCTTTGCCTCAGTTTCCTTACCTGTGAACTAGGGTCACAGGCTGCTGCTGTGCTTCTAAACTTTTTCCTTGCAGAAGGTTTGCATGTTATTTTGTCCTTTGGGCTTACACTTTAAAAGATGCCTGTCACGTAAGTGCTGGTTCAGTTCCCCACAAACTACAGTGTCAGTACAATGGCATGCAACTGGATATTTTGGTTGACTAGGAAAGGCAGATTTGAGATGAAAATGGGAATTTTTTTTTTTTTTGAGACAGAGCCTCAAGCTGTCCCCCTGGGTAGAGTACCGTGGCATAGCTCACAGCAACCTCCAACTCCTGGGCTCAAGTGAGTCTCCTGCCTCCGCCTCCCAAGTTGCTGGGACCACAGACACCCGCCACAATGCCTGGCTATTTTTTTTTTTTTCGGCTGTAGCCATCATTGTTGTTTGGCGGGCCCAGGCTGGATTCAAACCCGCCACCTTAGGTGTATGTGGCTGGCGCCTTAGCCACCTGAGCCACAGGCGCCCAGCCGAAAATGGGAATTTTTGAAGCCTTAGTCTTGGGCCTTAAATAGCTCAAAAGTGCCAGCTCTGAGGAGCTGGAAATGGAGAGTAAGCTCCCAAGTACATCAGAATGGCTAGTTCCCATCCACCAAGGGCCTATTCCTATGCAGTAGGGCATCTGGAGGCACCTCCATGCCCCCACCATGGAACAGTCACATCGGGGCTACTGAGAGTGAAGCTCAAGGGCTAGTCAGTTCAGCAGACCCAGCATTCAGGTGACTATCACCAGAGTCTGAGAGGTACCAGAAAATAAAGCCATTTTATTATTTTTTTCTTATCTGCCATGTGGCCTGAGGAGTGAGGGGTGAATAGAAGGTTGTGAATGGCTGGCACTGCTGAAGGCCCTGGGGCCTCTACTTGGCCTGGACTGTCTCCTCCAGCCTGTCTAAACGCTTCTGTAGCTCCTGCACTGTGGTCTGGAGTTTCTTCATCTCCTCCTCCAATCGGGACACAGCATCCTGAGGGACCCAGTGCTGGATTAGGACCAGTTTCTCCCTCCGACCATCTTACCCCTGTATCTGCTAAGCCCCCTTCTGAGAGCCCCAGGCCTTGGGCCCTTCTGTTTCTTGGCCAGTTGCTGCCTGGAGAGCTCCAGGCCTATGAATCTGAAATCTTTCTACAGAGGCCTCAGGATTACCCACTCATAGCCTCCAAAGGTTCCCCACCATTCTGAAGAACTGTTCTCCCACATTGAGCTGTACTGAACACCAGCCCTACCCTCATCTTCCTGTCCTGGCTCCCCTGCTGCCCTGCCCTCTCACCGAGCTGGGAGTGCCACTGGCTTCTGGTGTTGTCTTCCTGCGCCCGGTGTCCAGGCCCCGGTTGACTCTAAGCTCCCGGCTCTTTGGGGGAACGTAGCCATCCTTAAGGGAAATGAGGATGGGCCCAGCATCCTGACCCCCTAGCCACTCCTCAGCTGTCAGGGCAGGGTCAGGCCCTGCAGTGGGTGGGTACAGGTCTTCCTGGAACAGGTCCGACTGTGGGCAAGGCCAAGGCTGGTTAAGAGAGCACTTAATACTGCAATACCACCCTGCAATGCCTCAAGTTCAGTGCCCAGCCTGGAACCCAGGGAAGGGCACGGGAGTGTCACCTTTCTAGGCACTGTCATGGCGATGGGCTCACACCTCCGTTCATGCAGCTTGTAGAATCTGTGGAAACGGGAAGGTGAGCAGTGCCCACAGCACGGTTGGACAGGGGATGAAGGCCAGCTATGGTCAGCACTGCCCTAGGAGCATGCTCCAGTCAGGGTCAGGGATCAGTCACCTGGCAATCTCACACTTGTTCACCTCCAGGCCACGTTTGGGCATGTAGCCCATGCCACGCTGGGACTCCTTGGAACTGAACATGGAGAGATAGTGCAGGAATGGGGCCTCAGAAGTGATCTCGAAATACCGGATAGAGCTGTCACCCTGCAGGTGGCAAGGCAAAGAAAGGGTCAACTCCAACAGATGTCTTGGTTCTGATCTTCCCTGAGTCTTTCCCACCCACCTCCTGCCCAGCCCCTCTTGAATGGCTACCTTGCCACAAAGGTAGACAATGTTGGTGTCGGGGTCAAAGAAGGGCAACAGGACGCCACTGCTTGTGTCCAGCTCCTGCAGGGACAGTGGCTCCTCCAGGCGCTTCTGTAGAGACAGGTTTTAGGTTTAACACTGGACTGGGCCACGTTGGGCCCTGGGATAGTGATCGTCACTAGGTAATGACTCAGTGAAGACCCAGATCAACCAGTGGGTTGTGTCAGCCACAGCTTATGCATGGGTAAATAGGCCCATGGTCATCCAGCCAGGCAAGTGATAGAACACGGACTAAACCTCCAGTCTTGACTCCCAGCCCAGGGGCCCTCTATTCCTAGCTTGGCACTCACTGTGTCCCACAGCGCCACCTGCCGCTCACTCATGCGGCTGAAGCCCGTGGTCAGGATCTTTCCATCCGACACAA